TGGTTGTGCCAATTTTGAGGCCGTTTTAGTGTGCTACAATCCTGATTTGTGCCCTCCAAACCCCTACCCATCGAAGGCTTTATTTGCAAGAGGTGTTTACCCTGTACGTAGGTCTGCTTTTAAAATTGCTAACGAAAGGGAGGTAAAGTCATTAAGGAAAATCTCGGAAGGCATACTTTACTGCACTGACAGATCTCTATTTTGCGCCCTTTACAGGAAGCCTTTGATCAGTGGTATGTGCGCTTAAATTCGGAAAAGCCAACTCCTCCCACCACAGGAAGCAATGCTGGCGTTCTTGGTTCTTTGGCGGAACGCGTGGCTGCCGAAGAGGCGGAGAAGAATTTTCAAGCTCGCCTTGAGTGTTGGAATCACGAGATTGAGCTTTCCACTATGGTATGTGCACCCATTGCACTCCAGTGCTGGTCAGTCTTTGACAGTGAGAGACTCCAGTGATAATTTTCCTCCCCATTATATTCTACACCTTGTGGTAAACATTTTCTTGAGGAAAATCTGCCTTCACATCTGTGCTAATCTGTTTCTGTTTTTTATCGTAGAAAACAATTGGCAGTAGAAGAGTGGAAGGGGTCTCCTTAGTCTGGATGTGTTCTCTCGGATGTAGTTGGAAAATAATGGAATGATATTTGCTGGGACTTCTGTATTTCTTCTTTGTCCAACTCCTTTTTCTCTTTTATTTGCTTTTCTTACCGTCAGTCCTCAAAGTCACTCTTCTGCTTCTTATTTGCGACATAATTAGACCAAAATATTGTTTTAGGTAAAAGAATGTTAGCGTTATTCTCAAATTTTTATGTGACAAATTTGGTTTCCAATGGGAAAGTGACTTTGCTCCTATTATGCTGCATAATCTGCTTCATATTCATTCAAATGGGTTTATTTTTCACATAAAATTACAGAGATTATGCTTCATTTTCGGATGAAAACCACCGCAGCTCGCGTTGTGAAAGCACTACAAAATTTGCCTGCCAACACAATTTTATCGCTTTATAAGCGGAAAAATTTTCCTCAATGTATTCAAAAATTGATTCCTTTTACCTCAAATTTGTTTTGGGCTGGTATTATCATGCCATTTTTCCTAAAATTCATGGATTACTTGATGTTTGGTAGTCAAATCACTGATTTTTATCTACTGATCCTTAATTACAGTGCAAGAACAATGACTTGATTATTTTTATGCATGCTGCATTGTTTAGTACAGGGTTCGAAAAATTACCCCGTCGAATTTAAGCCGTCGTCTAACTTTAATGACATCTTGACTCTAATATGGGTTTAGACGCACCTAATTTATTTATTTGGGTTTGAAAAGGATTTCTTTCGGTTCTAAAGGATACCAGTAACGTATTCTTGGAATGATGAGTGCTTGAGTTTTTGCGAGATTTTTCGTCCTTTTCCCCGGTATCGGCGTAAACTTGAGGGTGAGTAAGCCTTCTCCTGTCTCCGAACCCTAAACATGGGTTCTCATGAGTAGCTTAATGGCAATGATGTAGGAAATTTATGCAATTTAACCATGGGTAAAATTAATAGCATTGATATTAATTAACTCAGAGCTTGCTTAGTAGTGGGCGACATGGCTTTAAAAGTGCTTTTATTTTCGTATGCTTGTCCAATGCTGCCTGTGCGCTCTTCAGTCCTTAGTCAAGCAGCTGGAGTCTCTGCTGACCTACGAATCTCCTGGGTGGTTGGTGGACGCAGCAGTTCTTCACCACGACGCCACGATCTCCGGCGAAATCGATGTCACTGGTATGTTTGGCTCTGCGGCGTTGGAACCGGATGAAATCGTGGCGGAGGACGCGGAAGAAGGGGATGAGGGACTGGGTATCGCTGGCCTTGGGGACTCTCCACATTCCCGCAGGCTTCAGATGATCATTCTCCGTGAGACTTGTCTTCGCGATGTCGTCTTCATGTTGGTCAAAGTTTTTAAACTTACTGGTCGCCATGATGATTGTGTTCGCCTTGCTGATCTCGTGGCTGACCCTCAATTTGGAATTTTTAAGGTCAGTTGCCTCGACTTTCCATCAAAATCATTTTTAGACGAATCTCTATCGAAACATGACTGATTGATGACGCTTGCTCCCTTTTTAATGACCACATGAATAGTGAAACTAGGTATCTTATTTACAGCCTTTCATACTGTCTATCCTACCTTGTGGCACATCTGCACCATATTTTTCTCGTTGCGCTTGTATTAGGAATAGTCGGGTGGGTAGTTCATGGGGGTTAACAAGTTTTTTTCGATGCAAAATTGCAAGTGTCAACCATTTTCAAACTGATAAAATAAATGCAGCAGACAGAGTCCTTCCTGACTATTTAAATACATTCGCCAGATTAACTTTACTCCTACTTTCACATGACCTATTTAAAGTCTATTTGGTGTAGACGTTGGGTTTGTTAGATTGGTCATCGGTTACATCTATGGGGTGAATGCAAAGGTGGTTGTCTGGTTAGCTGGGAAACGGAAGCGACAAAGGATGCATTGTTTCATGGCCTTTTGTAGTATTAATCTCATTCATAAAGATCTCCAGTGTTAACCTCTTCCACATTTAAGTCAGAAAGGCGTAGCTCTTACTGCCGACATCTATGTTGTCTACTGTCTGGTCAAATTTTCACTTCTTTTTTTAAAATCTCCCATGGATGATGCGAACTAAGAAGATGCTGTTATTCCACACCAACCA